CACTTGACACGCCGATGATGACGCCGACGAAAGCGAGAAAAACGAAAAAATTAAAAAATTTCATACTTAGATAATAATAAAAGACTTAATTTTGTTAATTAATAGATAATAGGTAAACAAGAACAATCTTAAGACGTTTTAGTTTTTGGCAAAACTAACAAAACCGTCAATATTTCCGGCGTTAGATAATGATTATATTAGGGGTCAAAACCGAAAAAAAAAAATTAATCAAAAGTATGACTTATTTATAATTCATATATCTCACTAACAGCTTCCAAGAAAACAAAATTAGTCAAACCTTTGATTTTTATGCAAAAACCGGAAACTCCAGAACAGTTTATCTGGAAATTTCAACAAGACGAGATATTGCTTCGCCCTTCCGCAAGTCGAATAATAGCCGATTTGCAACCTAGACAAGACATAAAGCTTCAGTTACATAGGGAAGTTTCAAGAAGCTGATAAATTTGAATCAGGCAAAATTAGCGGTCACGAACACCAACAGAAATAAGCTAGAGTCGTGGATTCATTTAATTTATTATGTTAAGTTAAAATTGAATTATTAGTTTAAATTATTAAATGATTGAAATTATTTTAAGTTAGGTTATTATATTAAATTATTTTAATGTTAATGAATTTATTTTATTAAAATGGTTAAAAATTTAATTTAATTTAAATTATTATTTTATTTGATTTAGAATTGATTTAAAGTACTGAACAATATCTATCTTACTCTATTAAAATGATTGAAACACAAAATACCTGAAAGTTTATTTTTATTTAATTTAATTTAAAGTTGAAAAAATTTTAATTTATTTAAAATAATTCATGACGTTATTTTAAAATAAACTATTATTTTATTCAAATGTTATTTAATTTAAATTCGAAGAACTATAAAATTCTTTTATTTATAACAATTGTAAATTATTGTTTTATTTAATTATTAATTTAATTTAATTTAAATGATGGTAAAATTATTAATTAATTTAAATATTATTTAAAAGTTAATAACTTTTAATAAAATACAATTTTATTTTATTAAAACGAAATTCAAAGTTCTCTATGTTTCTTATTCAATTTAACACGACTGTTTTTTTTTTCACTTATTAATATATATTATGGTCAAGTACTATACCATAGGAGACGAACACCGCGATATTAATTACTTAAGCATACTTACAACGACGCAGCTGGTACAGCGGGTGCTTCAATTTGCTCGGTTGAAATGTTGATTATAATAATGTGGTAAACGAGATGTGACTATTAGTATCCACTTGGTGGCTGCTCTGCTGGTGCTCGTCTGCTCGGCTGGTGTTCGTCTGACTCGATTATATTATGTTTCCGAAGTTATCTATTTGTGCGGTTTACGGCTTTTTCGTCTTTCCTAGAATTTAGATATTGCGCGCGTATACCAATCACGTGTTCGCGCTGTACCATTAATTAGTTCTTATCGATGTGGCCGCTCGGATGCTGATATTATTACTATTATCGGGGTTACGTGCTCCCTGTAGCATTTATGTCTATTATTGAATATAATATATATTATAATCGTATTTTACCTAATACAATAATATAATATAATATATTATTACTATTATTAATATATTCGTAGTCACAGCTCGTTACATATTCATAACTCAGTACAAACCAGGGTTGGCACGAAAAAACCCGGGCTGCTTTTCTGGGTTAAACCCACTTAATATTTTGAAAAACCCATAAAAAAACCCGGGCTGCTTTTCTGGGTTAAACCCACTCATATTTTTTGAAAAAAACCCAAAAAACCCGGGCTGCTTTTCTGGATAAAATACTCTTTTTTTTACTTATGTTAATTTTCAGAAAAATTTTCCTTATAAGGATTATTTGTTTTTCCAATTAAAATATTATTAAATTGTTATGAAAGAAACCTTATTATTTTTTTTTATTAGGTAGGTGCAAATAAAAGTATATAATAGAAAAAACTACACACCAACGGTCAATATAAATGTTAAATTTTTTTATTTTTAACAAGGTATTAAAATTTAAAATATAAAATAGGTAACTTTCCTTTAAAGTTTAAATACTTATACAAAAATTAATAGTTAAATAATAACAAATACTTGCTAATGAAATAAATAATAATAGCTAGTCTGTCAGTCTGATAGTTAATGGTAATTAATAGTTGATAAGAAGTTTAATTAAAAAAAGTCCTCCTCAACTTCTCCTTGAGGGGTTTTTATGTTTAGAAATCGGTGGATCTTCACCAATTTGGCTGCCTTTTCATGACCCAACCGATTTCTAAGTTTGGTTAAGGACTGGTGGCATGACTAATAAATTTACTGTTTAATAACAATTTAACAACTAACAACAAAACAAAAAACTTAATAAAGCCACTAACGTCAATAAATATTAACAATTAACAATTCGGAAAAGTTCAGAATGTCAATATCTTATATCATTATCATATAGTTTTTGCGGGGCCAGTTTAGAGATAACGCGATAAGGGAAAAATCAAATAACAGTGCAACTAATACATGGAAAAAAATTCCGATTTTTTCGGATGGGCTTTTTCAGAAAAAAACCCGATAAAAACCGCCCATTAATATTTTACAATAAAACCCGCCGGGTTATTGGGTTTTTTAGGGTTTTATTGGAAAAAACCCAAGCGGGTTGGGTTTTTTCTATAAGGCCCGAGTTTTTGACAACCCTGGTACAAACCCCCTTCCCCCTAAAAAAAAATTGCCAACAGTAAAAAACTTTTAATCGTATAAAATAAAGAAAGCATACATGCGATACATTTCACACACTTGTTAACAAAATATTTATTTTTCCTATCACCTATTGCATACAATACATTTATTTCACTTTTCTCTTGTTTAATAATATTGTCGACGTCATTATCTGTAAAACGAAAAAAACCCAATATTTCATGAATTATGATTAGGTACAGGATTGTCATCACATTATTTTTTTTAAACAACCTAACTTTTGTATAGCACCTTTTTTATGAATTCTTTCATTCTTTGTTCTGCAAAATGAGTAGGAACTAGGAGATACCTATCTATTGTTCTTTGCTATCTATTTAGACTAGTTACAACCATTATGTATTATCTACAGTAATCGGGAGTAGCGCGCTAATTGTAGCGACGCTACAGTAGCACGCTACTTTAGCTGTAGCGATTAACATAGCGTCGCTACAGTATATACAATGTAGAGAAATACTATAGCGCGCTAGAAATTTACGGTTAGCGTAGCGAAAATGTTCATTATTTTATCGCTACTTCTAACCTATTTCATGATAATATTAAAATATTATGATGTATATTTATTTATTTATTTAATTAAGATGACAAGATGAGTGTATTTTTGATTTTTTCGGGTTTAACCCGGACCGGACTAAGATAAGACCGGATAGATAAGACTATAATCATAAGTGCATGATTACAATGTAATATTTTATATTATTGAAAACAAAACCATAAATAATAATTAATATATTAGTATTTTATTATCACTATTTTTGTTTTCGGCATTCAGCGTTTTCTACTTTTCTGTGTTTCTTTTAAGTTTTAAATATTTTGAATAGTTGAATTAAAAATGACAGAACCTGAAGCCACCACGTCATATGAGGATAATGATGCATAACTCAATGTATCGAATTACAGTGGCCTGCTTTCAATAAGTTTTATAAGTATAAAGGAACGGACACAAAAGGCAATTACAACACTTTTTTAAAAAAATGTTTAGCAAATCAAAATTCTTTGTAATTAGTAATCATTAATCCCCTTGCTGTATGAAGTCCTTTATCCCAGTGACCGAATGTCTCTAATCAGTACAAACTACTAATTATTGGCAATTTTCAATAAAACGTTTATTTTTTTTTTGATTTATGTTACAAAAATACATGAGTTACACTTAATAAACCTGCCTTCCGAAATTACAAGAAAATAGTGGTAGGTAATTAACAAATAATGACCAAGTACTCAAGTGAATATCTAAATAAACAAAAAAAATTTTTAATAAAATGTAGCGAAAAAGTAGCACTCTACATTTCGTTTAAATAGCGTTAGAAATAGCGCACTACATTTAAAAAAAAAAGTAGATTTAGCGATAGCGAGCTACTTTTTTTGGGGAGTAGCAGTAGCGTTAGCGTGCTACAAAAAAACAGTAGCGTCCCGACCACCGAATTTATCTATGGAAAAGACTAACAGTAATTATACCTATAGGTTATGATTATTTTGGTGAATAAATTGTTTTGCCCCTTTCCCCTAGTTCAGTTACGCTACTGTGTATATATCACACGTATATTATCATTTTTGCATTTTTGCGTTTGTTAATATTTCCAAAGTAAAACGTGCAATTGACGATTATTCAATATTTCAGTGGCGTCGAACTTTGAACTTACCAATATTGCGTTGATGTCGTGTACGGTGTACACGAGTAGGTATACATTATTATATTCAAATGCTCCAGACTCGTATTTATAAATTGAGAGTTTAGGATTAGTTTTTTCACGTCAATCACATTTTTAAAATGTGATCGAACCTAGGCCACTGATTATTATGATAATTTCGTTGTCCACAATATTGTGGTTTGACACGCGATAAAATATTATAGTAAGGTCACTGACTAGGGCACTCGTTTATGCATATAATATATATACATTATACCTATATTATGAAGTCGTGTGGAATTAACGTGTTTGATATTTTATTTCGATTTCTCTATATGGACTATTATAATATGGTCTATGACGTCGGTAAAACTAATTTGCACTTTGCATGTGTAGGTACAAAGTATTTCGCTGGTTGTTCGTAATTCATTATATTATATAGGTACGTATTACGTAATATTTCGGTTGACTCGCACTACACAAGTACGAGTACGAATGTACGGCGATTTTACTTTGTTGACTGCGAGTAAATTGATTTGGTTTTTCGTCTATATCTATATGAATAACATGTAAAACTGTAATCAAAATCAAACTCAAAATCAAACTTGGGAACGACCAAGTCCGTATAACTTCTATGTATAAGAGTCCAAATTCTCCCCTGCAAACTAACGACCTGGACATCCTGACAAATCCAAATGACCTTTTTCTAGCAGCTGGTGACCTTAACGCAAAACATCAGTCCTGGAACTGTCGCACTACAAACCAGGCGGGTAGAATTCTCCACCAACATATGGAAACATCCAACTCATACTCCATTTGCGCACCTGACTCCCCAACACACTACTCCTACAATTCTCTACACAGGCCAGATATCCTGGACATAGCACTTGTAAACCTCCATCACAGAGAGTATGTCCTTACTAATCATAATGAGCTAACGTCAGACCATAACCCAATTGTTATGACTATAAGCGACTCTCCTATTACGATTAACCCTCCGGCTGCCAGAAAAAGAATCAACTGGAAAAAATTTGAGCAAGAACTATCGCTTAAATCTCCAAAACTAACGACAAAACTATCAAACCCAACAGAAATCGACAACGAGGTCGATTCATTTACCACACTCATAAAGTCAACAATCGAAAAATGCTCCTACCTCATTAACAAACCTCAAACCAGAGAGCCACTCTCCCCCGATATCTTACTTGAGATTGCCACCAAACGAAATCTAAGGAAAGACTGGCAACGCACTAGGCATCCAGCAGTAAAGACAATGCTGAACGCCCAAATAGTATATGTCCGAAACCTCCTTAAAGAACACCGTCAACTAGCATGGGACCGTTTCACATCCACACTAAACTTCCAAGATCAATCACTCTATAAATTAAATCGTCGTCTGCTTCACAAGAAGCCAGCTTCCGCCCCGTTGACGACAAACTCCGGGCAAAAAATTTACGACACTAAATCCAAACTGGAGCTGTTTGCAGACACAATGAGGGACCAGTTTACCGCCAACCCTGGGAACGAGCTATTGGAGGTCAACCGATCGGTCAACGAACTGAACGGATACTCCACAAAGTCAAGCCTTTTCACTACCCCTGGGGAAGTGTTTGGAATTATTAAAAATCTACCATCCGCCAAAGCCCCTGGACACGACAACATAACTAACGCTGCACTAAAGCACCTTCCAGCCCCTGCCATCGTAAGACTAAGCAACTTAATCACAGCTTGTCTCAGACACTCTTACTTTCCGACCTCCTGGAAAACTGCCATCATCGTCATGATTCCGAAGCCCAACAAAAACCACAATCTACCAATCAACTACAGGCCAATTTCACTTCTCGTCACAATGTCAAAAGTCTTTGAAAAAATCCTACTAAGCCATCTAAACAAATATTTTAAGCCAAGATCAGAACAACACGCTTTCCGACACGGACACTCGACGACTACGCAACTCACTAAATTGATCGACGACTTGGTAATAAATACAAATAATAATAGACACACGGCTGCCATTTTCTTGGACATGGAGAAAGCGTTCGACAGAGTGTGGCACGACGGATTAATCCACAAACTCCACACAATGTCAACCGTCCCCACATCCCTGATAAAAATCATTAAATCTTTCCTATCAAACCGAAACTTCCAAATTCAAATTTCCGACCTCAAATCAACCCTCAGAACAATCGAAGCAGGAGTTCCACAGGGGTCATGCCTTTCTCCCCTATTATACACTCTATACATCAATGATCTCCCATCCTCACCTCATGTTACTACTTCATTATTTGCTGACGACACCATGTTTTACTCTAGTAACACGTCGAAAAACTTCGCCATAATCCGTCTCCAACGCCAAGTCACCACGACAACCAACTGGATTAATAAATGGCGTTTAAAACTGAACCCTCAAAAAACGGTATGCATACTTTTTGGAACCAGCCGAAAAGAAGCCACGCGAAAAATCCAAATACTAGGCCAGACAATCGACTGGAAAAACAAGACCACCTATCTCGGCGTCACACTAGACAAAGCCCTGCGCCTAAATGATCACGTCAAGGTCTGCATCAGGAAGGCCAAGCAAGCCAGAGGGGCACTATACCCGATACTTAACAGCAGATCACCCATCCCAATGCCAACCAGACTCTCAATTTATAAATTATATATCAAACCAATTTTACTATATGCCTCTTCGGCATGGGGTCCTCTCATCAGTGCATCAAACTGGGCAAAAATAGAGGCAGTTCAAAACGTTGCGATCCGTACAATCACAGGTGCCCACTTTTTCACCAGAAATAACGCGATCTTAAATCCACCCATAAACTCTCTGAGAAACGAAGCAGAACTAGCGGCTAGGGTATTTTATCACAGAAATTCCCAATCAACATTCGCCCACATCCGCGACATTGGAACATCACCAGCTCCTCAAATACTCACACGCCGACCAAGACCAATCAACTTTGCGAAATCACAATAATATACTCCACATCCTGACAACCAGCCACTTAAAATTCAAACATAAGTTATAGGCATCGCCTGACACTTACTAACACAGCTGGGGTTTTTCCTTGGCTCCCAATTCAAAGCAAAGCAAAGCAAAACTGTAACAGTACGTAAGTACGATTCGTACGAAGATTTCAAATTATTTAGAAACCGTCCCTAATCGAATGTATACTGGTTTAAGTGTTTTTAACGTTGAACGCGGCGAGTGGCGACTGTATCGTTGCATTCTACATTTTCTAACCACTTATTCAAATAATACGTTATAATATCGAATTAACTTTCGATAATGTTATCAGTGAAATTTGAGTTAACAAATAATGAATTGAAAAATATAATTTGAAAACTTACGCTTATTAATAAAAAAAAAACGAAGATTTTGGCATATATTCTGGTTAGGTATATTTCAAGTAAACATTTAAAAAAGACAATGATACATTTTTCATTTATCTATTATCTTCATCTAGATACTTGAATAAAATATATAAATATTTTTTTTATTTTCATAAATATAATAGATTATAAATGTATATGTTTGAATGTTTGATTCACTCATTGTAGGGCTACAATTTGTAGAAATACAAAAATCTTTAAAGAAAATTTACATAAAACATAGACATAAATACATAGTACATAATTTTACAATATCAATATTATATATAAATTGTTAATAATTGTCATAACGACAATTTTACATAATTTCTTTTCATTTTACATAATTTCTATTTTCGATACATAACTTTTCATCACATAACATAACAATATTTTTTTTTATAACAACATAACATAATATTTTTTTTTTTTTTTTATCACAGAAATAGAGAAAGTTAATAAAGGATTTTTAAAGAAATTTAATTTGATTTATTTAAAAAAAAAAAAATGACAGTTTATAAGCCCGTCCTAACGTCATAAAATTTTTAAGTGTATGAAAGACGTCAAAACATACACAATACACACTTTATCTTTATTCAAAATAATGTAAATTGTAAATTAGTTAGTACGTCATACTTTAGGAGCACATGAAAGACGTAAAGAAAACATGTACAACATGAAATGATGGATAAATAATATATAATTGATTATTAAGAAAAAAATTAAAAAAAAAAAAAAAGAAAGACATTTTTATAAAATCACATGAATTATTAAAATTTAACATTAAAATAAATCACATGAACAACCAGATGGCATATGCCTATGACAGTTCCGTTCCTTCCACTGGTCGGCATACTTATCGATTGCAACGGCATTACTCTTCATTAATCCTAGTTTTGGAGGTATAAGAAAACATCCAACAAATGGAATCAAGGACAAAGCTTCAAGACCGGCGGTGGTCGACTGTATAACTCCAGTAGCAGCAGCTATGGAAGTCATTGGCACACGACATTCATTTGGTAAGGAGGAAACCTTATTCCGCAAACAAGTCGATACATTAATGACATGAGTCATTTTTCCCGACGAACTTAATATTCCAGCAACCACGGCAGGAATACCAACAACAGGAACACATGCACCTACAGTCGCCAGGGTACTAACAACCGCACCAATGCCGGACCCGATCTTAAGGGTATCAACATAATCCTTTTCAGTGCAATCACTTGACACGCCGATGATGACGCCGACGAAAGCGAGAAAAACGAAAAAATTAAAAAATTTCATACTTAGATAATAATAAAAGACTTAATTTTGTTAATTAATAGATAATAGGTAAACAAGAACAATCTTAAGACGTTTTAGTTTTTGGCAAAACTAACAAAACCGTCAATATTTCCGGCGTTAGATAATGATTATATTAGGGGTTAAAACCGAAAAAAAAAAATTAATCAAAAGTATGACTTATTTATAATTCATATATCTCACTAACAGCTTCCAAGAAAACAAAATTAGTCAAACCTTTGATTTTTATGCAAAAACCGGAAACTCCAGAACAGTTTATCTGGAAATTTCAACAAGACGAGATATTGCTTCGCCCTTCCGCAAGTCGAATAATAGCCGATTTGCAACCTAGACAAGACATAAAGCTTCAGTTACATAGGGAAGTTTCAAGAAGCTGATAAATTTGAATCAGGCAAAATTAGCGGTCACGAACACCAACAGAAATAAGCTAGAGTCGTGGATTCATTTAATTTATTATGTTAAGTTAAAATTGAATTATTAGTTTAAATTATTAAATGATTGAAATTATTTTAAGTTAGGTTATTATATTAAATTATTTTAATGTTAATGAATTTATTTTATTAAAATGGTTAAAAATTTTATTTTATTTAAATTATTATTTTATTTGATTTAGAATTGATTTAAAGTACTGAACAATATTATCTCACTCTATTAAAATGATTGAAACACAAAATACCTGAAAATTTATTTTTATTTAATTTAATTTAAAGTTGAAAAAATTTTTAATTTATTTAAAATAATTCATGACGTTATTTTAAAATAAACTATTATTTTATTCAAATGTTATTTAATTTAAATTCGAAGAACTATAAAATTCTTTTATTTATAACAATTGTAAATTATTGTTTTATTTAATTATGAATTTAATTTAATTTAAATGATGGTAAAATTATTAATTAATTTAAATATTATTTAAAAGTTAATAACTTTTAATAAAATACAATTTTATTTTATTAAAACGAAATTCAAAGTTTTCTATAATTATTATTCAATTTAACACGACTGTTTTTTTTTTTTCAATTATTAATATATATTATGGTCAAGTACTATACCATAGGAGACGAACACCGTGATATTAATTACTTAAGCATACTTACAACGACGCAGCTGGTACAGCGGGTGCTTCAATTTGCTCGGTTGAAATGTTGATTATAATAATGTGGTAAACGAGATGTGACTATTAGTATCGACTTGGTGGCTGCTCTGCTGGTGCTCGTCTGCTCGGCTGGTGTTCGTCTGACTCGATTATATTATGTTTCCAAAGTTATCTATTTGTGCTGTTTACGGCTTTTTCGTCTTTCCTAGAATTTAGATATTGCGCGCGTATACCAATCACGTGTTCGCGCTGTACCATTAATTAGTTCTTATCGATGTGGCCGCTCGGATGCTGATATTATTACTATTATCGGGGTTACGTGCTCCCTGTAGCATTTATGTCTATTATTGAATATAATATATATTATAATCGTATTTTACCTAATACAATAATATAATATAATATATTATTACTATTATTAATATATTCGTAGTCACAGCTCGTTACATATTCATAACTCAGTACAAACCAGGGTTGGCACGAAAAAACCCGGGCTGCTTTTCTGGGTTAAACCCACTTAATATTTTGAAAAACCCATAAAAAAACCCGGGCTGCTTTTCTGGGTTAAACCCACTCATATTTTTTGAAAAAACCCAAAAAACCCGGGCTGCTTTTCTGGATAAAATACTCTTTTTTTTACTTATGTTTATTTTCAGAAAAATTTTCCTTATATTTTACTATTCTACGTCCGAGTCAAAATAGAGTCATACAAGTCAACAGGTCCTGCCCAATGTTTTTCTTGCCAACGATTTGGCCACTCATCAATTCAGTGCGGGCACCCGCAAAGATGTGTAAAATGCGGAAAAAACCACCCTAGCAAAGAATGCACAAAACTGAAAGAAGATAGCCCAACCTACTGTAACTGCAATGGTAAACATACTTCTAACTATAGGGGCTGCCCCTACTACACTTATACTTGCAAAGAAAAGACCGACCAATCCAGAGACGTCATAAGAACCAAACTCATACAGGAATCCAAGTTGAAAGTACCACCAACAAATATACCAGTATCTACAGCACATGAAAAAGCCAAAGAAACAAATACAAAATCATACGCGGCTGCAACAAAACACCAAACAGGAAAAACCGAACTCACAATTGACACATCAAAACTCTTACAAATAATTAGAGACCTCCTTACTACAGCCCAAAAATGTGAAGACGTCGCATAAAAGAATGCAGTCATCACAACAGTCCAAAATATAATCAACACCATACCAACATCCCATGATGAATGAATTCAAAATCATCTCATGGAATTGCAACGGTATCGAAAACAAAATACCAGAACTCACCGCATTTGTAAAACAAAACAAAATCGACATAATCCTGCTTGGTGAAACCCGACTAAACCCCAAAAATAAAATATCAATACCAAATTATCATGTTTACCGAACCGACCGCCGAAAAACACCAACCGCTCCCTCTTCAGGAGGAACAGCAATTTTAATACGGAAGAATATAACCCATCAACACGTCACGCTACCAACCTCTGTGGAATCTACCACAATACAATTGAAACTCAAAAACAAATTAACACAAATCACGGCAGTATACAAAAGTCCTAGTGCAAATCTCCACCACAATGACCTAAACATTCTGACAAACCACAATGGACCCTTCATAATAGCCGGAGACTTAAACTCCAAACATCCGAGCTGGAACAGCTTCTCAACAAATACTGCACTCAGAAAATTACTTCGCCACTCGGAAGCAAACAATTATACAATTGTTGCCCCTGATTCACCGACACATTATCCATATATTCAAACTCATCGTCCAGACGTCCTTGACATCATACTACTGGATCTACCGTCAATTCAATATACAATAATAAATCACAATGACCTGTCGTCAGACCACAATCCAATTCAATTAAATTTAAATGCATCACCAATCTCAAACAACCCACCTAAAACACTTAAGAAAACTAACTGGGCCAAATTCAAAACAGAACTCTCCCAAATAAAAATCGACCGCGTTCAAACACCGGAAGAAATTGACAACAAAATCGACAATCTAACAACCACCATTCGAAATGCACAAGAAAATGCTTCCTACACTCTCAAACCAAAACAAATCATATCTCAACTTCCTGATGAAATAATGTTAGAAATAATAACCAAACGACAACTTAGGAAAATGTGGCAATCCACCAGAGACCCGAGAACAAAACGTCTATACAACGCTCAAATTGCATACGTTAAAAATTTATTAATTGAACACACACAAACGCAATGGAACGCTTTCACAGAAACTTTAAACTTCAAAAACAAATCACTATACCAACTAAACCGTCGTCTCCTCAACAAGAAAGCCGCAGACACGGCGCTACAAACAACTGCTGGCCACAAGATATTTGAAGCCGACGAAAAAGCAGAATTATTCGCAGACACCATGGAAAACCAATTCACAGGGAATACAGGAATTGACTTACAAGAAGTAAACGAAACCATCACAGAAATAAATCTTGACCAGACTACATCAAACATCTACATCAATCCCAAGCAAGTCCTAGACATCATCAATAAACTACCAAATGGCAAATCACCAGGATATGATAACATATCAAACAGCACTCAAAAACTTACCAAACAACATTATCACACAAATAGCACAAATTTTCACGGCATGGCTTCGAATTTCCTACTTCCCTAAGATTTGGAAAAAAAGCCACTATCGTCATGATTCCAAAACCAGGAAAAAACCACTCCATCCCAGAAAACCACCGCCCAATATCTCTACTCTCAACCATTTCAAAAGTATTTGAAAAGATTATCCTGGGAACTCTGCGTACATACGTAAAACCTCGGGCGGAGCAACACGCATTCAGAGAAGGCCACTCAACCACCACACAACTCTTCCGTCTATTCAAAGACATAAAAAACAATAAAAATAAAAATAAATACACTGTTGCAACATTTCTAGATATGGAGAAGGCCTTTGACCGCGTGTGGCACGATGGTCTAATCTATAAATTAAAAACTAACACCGAACTTCCAATAAATACAATCAAATTAATTAAATCATTCTTATCAGATCGTTCGTTCCAAGTACGAGTAGTTCACCAACAATCAACGACAAGACAAATACAAGCAGGAGTACCGCAAGGTTCCTGCCTTTCACCTCTACTCTACATACACTATGTAAATGATCTCCAACTTCTCGACAGAATACAAACATCCATTTTCGCAGACGATACCATGTTCCACACGGCCCATCAAAACAAGAACTACGCAATATGTCAACTACAAAGACAAATGGATCAGACCGTGATCTGGATAGACAAAAGGAGACTTAAATTAAATATTGACAAGACCGAAACCATTATATTTGGAAGGAGATAGAATAAACATCTTTGACAAATAAAAATCAAAAACCAAGCAGTCAAATGGAAAAACCAAATACCTCGGCGTAACGATGGACAAAAAACTGCCAATGAATGGACACTTAAAAACTACTATACAAAAAGCAAAAGGAGTCAGAGCCTCACTCTACCCAATACTGAACCGAAATTCCCCGATTCCACTAAGGACCAGAATCCAACTGTACACCATCTACATCAAACCAATCCTCATGTACGCATCAGTCGTTTGGGCACCTCAGCTTAGCCAATCAAACTGGCGGAAGCTAGAGGCTGTCCAAAACATTGCACTCAGAACAATAACCGGAGCATATTACCTAACTACAAATGAAGCAATAAGACAGTCAACCGATATTCTATCCATTTCGGAAACAATACAGTCGGCAATAGCTGTATTTTTACATAGAGCTTCTGTATCGAGATTTCGTCACATTCGGGCTCTGACAAAATAAACCATGACAAACTGACGAATCGTCCACTACTGTGAAGGAAAAACATGAAACAAGAGATAAAAGGCAAAGCCTGGAGCTCTATATAGGCCGTAGGCCGTCCTACAAAGGCAAGTCCAACCACAATTTTACATAATTTCTTTTCATGACATAATGATTTTCATTTTACATAATTTCTTTTTACGATACATAACTTTTCAACACATAACATAACAATATTTCTTTTTATAACAACATTTTTTTTTTTTTTTTTTATCACAGAAATAGATAAATTTAATAGAGGATTTTTAAAGAAATTTAATTTGATTTATTTAAAAAAAAAAAATTAAAAAAAACAAAGGACAGTTGATAAGCCCGTCCTAACGTCATAAAATGTTTAAGTGTATGAAAGACGTCAAAACATACACAATACATACTTTATCTTTATTCAAAATAATGTAAATTGTAAATTAGTTAGTACGTCATACTTTAGGAGCACATGAAAGACGTAAAGAAAACATGTACAACATGAAATGATGGATAAATAATGGATAATTGATTATTAAGAAAAAATTTAAAAAAAAAAAAAGAAAGAAATTTTTATAAAATCACATGAATTATTAAAATTTAACATTAAAATAAATCACATGAACAACCAGATGGCATATAAATATGACAGTTCCGTTCCTTCCACTGGTCGGCATACTTATCGATTGCAACGGCATTACTCTTCATTAATGCTAGTTTTGGAGTTAAAAGCAAACATCCAGCAAGTGGAATCACGGACAAAGCTTCAAGACTGGCGGTGGTCGTCTGTATAACTCCAGTAGCAGCAGCTATGGAAGTCATTGGCACACGACATTCATTTGGTAAGGAGGAAACCTTATTCCGCAAACAAGTCGATACATTAATGACATGAGTCATTTTTACCGTTGAACTTAATATTCCAGCAACCACGGCAGGAATACCAACAAAAGGAATACATGCACCTATAGTCGCCAGAGTACTAACTAAAGCAAAATGAACACCAGGAATACATGCACCTGCGGTCAACAGGATATTATGATTTGCACCAATGCCGTACCCGATCTTAAGGGTATCAACATAATCCTTTTCAGTGCAATCACTTGACACGCCGATGATGACGCCGACGAAAGCGAGAAAAACGAAAAAATTTAAAAATTTCATACTTAGATAATAATAAAAGACTTAATTTCGTTAGTTAATAGATAATAGGTAATCTTAAGACGTTTTAGTTTTGGGCAAAACTAACAAAACAGTCAATATTTCCGGCGTTAGATAATGATTATATTAGAGGTCAAAACCGAAAAAAAAAAATTAATAAAAAAGTATGACTTATTTATAATTCATATATCTCACTAACAGCTTCTAAGAAAACAAAATTAGTCAAACCTTTGATTTTTATGCAAAAACCGGAAACTCCAGAACAGTTTATCTGGAAATTTCAACAAGACGAGATATTGCTTCGCCCTTCCGCAAGTCGAATAATAGCCGATGTAGAGCTAGAAATGCTAGTTACTTGGAATATTATTCAAGTTGACAACCCGTATTGCAACCTAGACAAGACATAAAGCTTCAGTTACATAATGGTAGGGAAGTTTCAAGAAGCTGATAAATTTGAATCAGGCAAAATTAGCCGTCACGAACTCCAGCAGAAATTAGCTAGAGTCGTGGATTAATTTAATTTATTATGTTAAGTTAAAATTTATTTTAAATTTAAATTATTATGTTAAGTTAAAATTGAATTATTAGTTTAAATTATTAAATGATTGAAATTATTTTAAGTTAGGTTATTATATTAAATTATTTTAATGTTAATGAATTTATTTTATTAAAATGGTTAAAAATTTTATTTAATTTAAATTATTATTTAATTTGATTTAGAATTGATTTAAAGTACTGAACAATATCTATCTCACTCTATTAAAATGATTGAAACACAAAATACCTGAAAATTTATTTTTATTTAATTTAATTTAAATTCGAAGAACTATAAAATTCTTTTATTTATAACAATTATAAATTATTGTTTTATTTAATTATTAATTTAATTTAATTTAAATGATGGTAAAATTATTAATTTATTTAAATATTATTTAAAAGTTAATAACTTTTAATAAAATATAATTTTATTTTATTAAAACGAAATTCAAAGTTTTCCATAATTCTTATTCAATTTAACACGACTATTTTTTTTTTCACTTATTAATATATACTATGGTCAAGTACTATACCATAGGAGACGAACACCGTGATATTAATTACGTAAGCATACTTACAACGACGCAGCTGGTACAGCGGGTGCTTCCATTTGCTCGGTTGAAATGTTGATTGTAGTTGGGTGTTACGTAGTTGTACAGGATTCTGTCTCGGAGTTGCTGGAAGGTGAACAATCTCCCCAGATAATAATCTATATATTATATAAAAATGGAGACAAAAAATTTTGCTAAATTTTTTTTAATATATTCGTAATTGCCAGTTGAAGGTTTTTACGAAAGAAAATTTTTAAAAAGTCAACCGAATAATTAGAAAAACTGCAAAAACTATTTATTGATGTCTGGGATTTGAACTCGATACCGTTGTCTTTATTTACTCTATGGTGTATTATATTATATTGGTTGCTATTGGTTAATCGGGCATGTTTGTTGATTTGTATTATTATTTTTTGTAAATATATCTTATATATAAATGAATGACCTATGGAAAGAAGATACGCTAATTTAAAAAGGGTTAAATTTGGTTTTTTTTATTCATCGGATTTTAGTACGGTTAGGTTAGGTTAGGATTTATATTTAGGTGGAATTAAGTAAAAACCTCAAACTTGGTATAACTTTGGTACTTTTTGAGTTAAATCATACACTTACGTACAAACAGCACGGGGTCCGCGTTCTACCGCAGGTAAATTACCTATCTGATAATGTACTGCTGCAATTCAGAATTTTTATTCCGGGCAACAGAAAAGTTAAGATAAATCTAGAACATCATACACTGAATATTAAATAACGCATTGAACAATGTTTGAGTCATATAGAGTTGGTACATTTAACGGGAAACGAAGTGCACGGGATCAGCTAGTTAATTTATAATAATGTGGTAAACGAGATGTGACTATTAGTATCGACTTGGTGGCTGCTCTGCTGGTGCTCGTCTGCTCGGCTGGTGTTCGTCTGATGGACACTTGTCCATCGACGTACTTCGTCGGGTATTTCTAATAGCTCTCTCCTATGGCATTTTTTGTATAATAAATGGTACATAGCCGCGTACACCTGAGGTCATTTCTGGCGTCCTCTACGAAATAATGTTAATTATAGATGATATGTTTCCAAAGTTATCTATTTGTGCTATTTACATTTTGGAATTTATTATAGATACCTATAATAGGTCAATTTTTTTAATACGATAGATAAGTATATAATATGTCTTATACCTAGACTGACATACCGTCTCCGCTCAGAATCGTTTTTCTTATACAATGATATTATATCATTATATCATTGAATTATTCAAATTTAATACTAACCATTCTACAGTGACCCACTTGTAACCTACTGTACAGCAGAGCACCTTTTTTTGATATTTGTTTGAATATTATAAAGGAATAAAACTATAAATTATATTTAGTTATTACTTATTACGAACAGCAATAAATTTTATGAAATCATGTTTCACTTAGGTAATACTGTTCAACTGATGTATGACCATTGGTAAGTCGAGCCCAATATTAATCCATTTTTTAGAATAGCCTACATACAGGTAACTAATATAATGTGAAATACACTGAATTTTGATTGAGAAACTATACTGTTTATTAGAGCTACTTTATGCACTTATATAAAGTGATAGATGCGCATATGCATAATAAAATATACTAATATGCGTTTGATATTAACCATTAGAAACAATTTATATTGATATAATAACCAGGTGAGTGGTAAACAGAGAAGTCTACAATGTAGGTAGGTATTAGGTATATCTAATTATTTACTAAGAAATAGTTATTTACCGTCTTTTTAGGCAGGTATATCAATATTATATTAAAGTAAAATAACATTTAGATTTAGATAATGGATTAACCATTTCACAATAGTATAATAAATTATAGTATTAATATACGTACCTATAAAAATAAAAATTATACTTAAGGTAAATTTAATTTTGATTAGATAAGTAAATACTAGATTAACCTTTATCTGAGGTTGATTTTGTATTAAACAAACAATATACCAGTGGTCTATTGTTCATACCGATCCTTAATTTATTGGTAGGTACCTAAATGCATGTGCATGACATGTCGATATATATTTGTATTTTAGATTCTGAGTGAAACGATGAATCTATTGATCTTACAATGATGTGTGTTTTTTTTTTTACAAAATGAAATAAATGAAGATACGAACAAAGAAGTGGTTCAAGTAATTGGTAATAATTTAATATATTAATATAGGTATACATAGTATAAAAAATGTAGTATAAAAATATAGTATAAAAAATGTCATTCATATTATATTTGTTTATTTTTGAAGAAATCTTAGAAATAATAAATATATTGAGTAAAAAATTGCAAAAAAGAAGAAGGTACAATTGGAAATGCTGTTATTGAAATTAGTGCTGTGATAAAAACAATTAAAAATATGAGAAATGAAAAATCATTTGATGTCCTATGGAATAATGTGATACAGTTTTTATTAAAACATAATATTGATGTTCCACATAATACACCAGGACCTGGTTAGTAAAAAAAGTTATCAAATATATTAATATTGTTTTAAACATAATTATACTTTGGAATATACTTGGTATTTATTGAATTATTATTTTGAAATTGCTTAGGTGTAATTATGTCATCCAGGGCATTTTTTAGTGATATTTTACTAGGTGTCCACTTTTAAAAAAAAAATTAACTATCATTTATCAATTTAAAAAAAAAACAACAAATTATAAAATTAATACAAACTTTGTTCTTATATATTATATTTAAAAATACATAGATTTCATTAATGGCTAAAATGGTTTTTTTTTCTGAAAAATTTATTGATGAAATCACGATGCTTATAAGTGGACAAATCAGGTTCACGATAGCGTCTTTCTTCTTTTTTTTTTAAATTCTATAACAGCGGGCTGAGGATCATAGTGTGCGGTTCCAACTCCATTCATTGATACATACAGACAATTAATGGTTTCTTCTAATAAGCTTATTTTATGATTAGTTTGATTATAATGTGAAATCACTCTTTCTGTCGTAATTGAACGGGGGCAAACAATTAATAGAGTTACAAATAATTTTTGTAATATGCCACTAGTTTTAGCAGCTATAGTCCTTAATTTTAATGAATATTGAGTTCCTTTATCGGTTGTATCAATATTTGGAATATCTTCTATCATTGACCAAAAATCAGTTACATTATTAACAAGCTCTAAAACTTTATCATGACCGAAAAAATTTTCAACCAACTGACAGCCGGCTTCTATCATTTCTTTGCAAGAATTTGCAGAGATTAGTTTTATCATCTGACTTGTAGTTTCATCTTCTTCAACGTTTAGGAGTTGACATAAAAAGTTCTTAAACGATAAAACAATTTCTTTGTTAAGAAGAACAATTTACTTCATTAGTGCTACTTTCTTTTTCATCTGTTTTTGATTTTTTGTTGAAATAAAACAGTAAATTTTTTTATTTTTTCCATCGTTAAATTTCAATATTTATTAGTTTTAATATTAAAAATGTGTGTACGCGATAAGTAGTCGAAATAATAGTAGTACCCAGTACTTTTCAAAAGCGCCGGGAAAAACAACATAAAAATTAAGAAAAAACGGGAATTTTTACGCAATATCGGTTTTAAAAAAAATCGATTTTGGTTTTTGGTGTAACTCTAAAACAAATGAACGTATATACATGAAATTTTCACTGGTTGTTTATATTTGAATTTTCTATACACGATAACATTTTCAAAATATTTTGATTTATTTTGAACTGTTTAGGGACATTTTCATTTTCCATTTTTTTTTAGTTTTTTTTTCTATAAATATCAATTAAGTTTTATCTGTTGGACCAAAAAGTGTAAACATTTAATACAAGACTCCTGATATATTGTTACAATATCAGTTCAAAAACATTGAAAATCCATAGGCACAATTTTTTTTTATAAGCATTTAAAGATCGAATTTTGACAAAATTTATCAAAATCTCGAAAATTATCAATCATTGTAATTAATAAATTATAAAATGTTCAGTTTTTATAGCTAAGGATTGCAAATTTAAAACAAAGGTTCTCATAAATAGGTCATACTGTAACCAAAAAATCTAAAAAAAAAAATATTAACACAGTTATTTTTTACAGACATTTTAAATTAAAATTTGGACGAAATTACATTATTAAAAAAACCTAGAATAACTATTTTAGTTATTTTGTTGTGATTGAATAATATTATTCGTGGGTACTTGAAACTTCTAAAGTGTACTATTATATATCTATGATAGTATCACGGTTTTTGTTAATGTATAACGCGTTATAAGTACCTAATGGATATTGTGATATGATTAATTTGGAATTTATTATAGGTACCTATTATAGGTCTATTTTTTGTTTAATATCATAGTTATGTATATAACAGGGGTGGCCAAATCACGGCTCGCGAGCCGCATGCGGCTCTCGTCACAGTCGTATGCGGCTCGCGGTCTTATCTACAAAATCCAAAATATTTTAATTTTTTTTGTATACATTTATAAAAAAAAAATGTTTTTATTGTATTTATTTAAGGCTATAGTATTATAGTGTATAGAATATAGATTAAATCAAACAAAAAAAAAATTAATTAATGTGAATAATAAATAAAAAAAATTAAACATTAAGCTAATTTTGTTTGCGTGGTACTTTTTTCGTGTCTACTTTTTTAGTAAGCTTCTTAAGATTTGGTTGAATTGATGTAAGAGCAGTTCTTATAGTAATTCTGTAAGATGATCATCAGTCAAATTTGAACGATATTTTGACTTAATTATTTTCATTGTTGAATAAAGTGATTCACATGAATACGTCGTTCCAAAAATTGATATCAATTTTACCTCACAGTTTTTAATATTTGGGTATTTTAATATAGAAATATGCTTCCAAAATTCCAATATAGAGAGACAATTGTTTATAAACTGCTTAAGACCTTCTAATATCATACCGTCTCCGCTCAGAATCGTTTTTCTTATACAATGATATTATATCGTTGAATTCAAATTTAATATCATCCATTATACAGTGACCCACTTGTAACCTACTGTACAGCAGAGCGATACCCACTTGCCCACCTTTTTTATTATTTATTTGTTCATCTTCTTCCGAAAATGTATTTTTGAATACCTACTTTCCCGTTTTGAAAATACTATAATGCACCATAAATACTTAAAAATTTATAATATATTCAACAAATGCTACAAAAATATTTTTACTCTTTGATTTTAACAAATGAAAAAAATAATAAATTTACATATTATTGGTATACATATTATAATGTTATTCAATAGTGTGCCAAAATATATACCTATTTCACGCATACAATTGTTGACTATAATGATAAAAGTGCACCTACCACGACAGTGTATCGTGTTTGATGGAATAGTGGTGTGTGATAAGTTTCTTTTAAATATTAATAATATTATTATAATAAACAAATAATGTATAAATAAAGTCTTCATTATATAAAATAAAAAAAATAAAAATATTGAGTACAAAATTTACAGTATTGATTTTTGAATCGTATTAATGTATATATTATGTACCTAATATCTGGTTTTAAGACTAACAATAATTAATATATTGGCTGTTGTCTTTCACATATATTTATATTTATGAAATATAATATCTCATCAATATAAATATCGTGTAGACAATTTAGAGAAGTTTTAATCAAATGAAAAATAATCAGTCACTTATTTGTACAAAATTGTATCATGTATCATGCTCTGGTCATTTTGTGGTTCGAGGACTTGTTTCTGCCGTGCAGTATGTCCTGGATTTCTTGAAGTGTCTTGCCTTCGGTTTGTGGCAACAAAAACGCCGTAAACAACAGCGCAAATATACAGCACACGGCAAATATCCAAAATACAGAATATATGCCGATGGCATTGGACACCGTGCTAAACAACTTCGTCAATATGAAGCCCAGAAGCCAGCAGAAACTGGCCGTTAAAGCCGAAGCCCCAGACTTAAGATTGGTCGGGAATATCTCTCCCATAATAGCCCATGGCAGCGGACCGAAACCTGAAAATTGTTTCAAAATATAATAGGTTCAAGTCATTAGTGTTCATCTATAGGTCCAACTACAGGTATGTACGCAAATAGCTATATTATAAGTATAAGTACTATATATAATGTCTAAAACTTTGTAAAGGTACTCAATATTAGGTAGGTAGTAACATACCATATACCGTAATATATAATCATCGGCATAACATATCATATTATTGCACTATACGGTTTAAAAAAAAATATGTAGATAACTTACCAAGACAATAAGTGATAATGAAAAGCACCAAACTTGTGACCGGTAACCATCCGATAGAGCTCACATCACTTCCTGATTCTTGTAAGTAGAAAAACAGGCCAAGGGTTCCCTGTTGTATAACAATAGAAAAATGGATTTTTATAAAAAATATATAATAATATACTGTGCACTGGACGAATGAGTAGGTAAGTAAATATTTCAGAAAGCGTCAACCGATGTTGAGACTTGGTGAAAATATTAAAACATTTCGTACTTACGTCAGTAATTGCCATTCCGATTGCCGAAATGTACAGCAGCATTCTCATGGTAGTTATCTTTGCCAATGTCGGCGTCAGACCGGCAGCGAGCAACATCACAGTCCCGACGATTATTGTGGACACGCTGGCAGACAGTTCGACGCCAGTTTTCAAGAAAATTTTCTCGCTGTACAGCAACACCACGTTGATGCCGCTGAGCTGCTGCCAAGCTACCATGGCACAGGATATGATTACCGCCTTTATGTTACCTCTGTTGGAGAAAAGTTCGCCGAAACCGGACTTTTGTTTCTTCGCCTCGTCAACGGATTTCTGTAATGCAACCGACGGATTAGTATTTATTATTATAAATATATTATATATACCATCGTTATTTCCCTACTAAATACAATATAATAAAGTCCATAATGTTTCTAGAGTGTAAACAATATATTATAATTAGGAGCCATTTATTTTAAAACGTTTTTAAGGGTGTTTTTCTATGGTTTTTTTTTTATTGGAAAATCAACACGCGCGTGACCTATAATATCACAACATGCTATATTATAAGTATATGATTGGAAATTTGGACGGCTTTTATGAGATAAGGCTCGAGTATTATTAGATATATATAGTTCAGGGACGGCTCGTGATGTTCTTAGCTGATGGTACACAAAATAATATACATACACATATAGTAATGAAATCAATAACATAATTAATGCTAAATAGGTATTACGTTAAAGAATATTTTATCAAATATACATAGTATACTATGGTGATTTGATAAATAATATTCGGCACAAATAAAAAATAGATTAAAAAAAAGACAACAAATTATTATGTTTTTTGTATAGCAGATGGTTGTGAGCCCTTTCTCATTAAAAAAAAAAACCATCAAACCGCATGCCCGGTGACAGTAAATATTATTATAATATGAGTCGTATAATATTACGGTGGGATAATGTTCGTGTGTAGGTACGTACCTTGATCTCTTCGAGCTCTTTGATCAGAGCTGTCTCTTGTGGGTTACCTCGCAACCACCTCAACGATTCCATGGCCTTCTGCTCTCCCCCGGGCCGTATCAACAGCGACTGTGGCGAGTCCGGCATCCACACGAACATGCCGAAACACAGGACGGGTGTCGCCAGGGACACGATGACTAAAGTCAGGTATGAAGTGTACGGTCCGACAATGTATTCGAGCAAAAATCCGACGACCAAGAAGAACTGCATCAGTGTGCCCAACGACGATCTCAAACGCATCTAAATAATAATAATACGATATTACGTACAATCCTAAACATTGATACCTAGCGAGATTCACTGCGATCGACCATAATTCCACATATTATAATATACTACATATATAATACAAATATATGCATATTATACAACAGTCGAATGGGATTCACAGCAATATGTCTGTAAGGTGAATACTCCCTAATTCGTATTAATATAATAATTACTATGATGGTGTAGTTTACATATTATTACGAATGAGTCAATAGAATGGATTGATATCGCGAAGTTTTTGATATAGGTATTAAATCTGTTTAAAAATGAACCATATCGATGGAAACTGAAATTGAATATATATATATATATATAGATACTTACGCAGTTATGATAATAAATTGTTATTTGTTATAATATTATTCAAGTACATCGCAGCCAAAAAGTATGCTGTTAATATAATAATTCTTTTTATGTCATTTGAACTTAAAACGTAAAGAAACAATGTTTAATTGAAATTTTCACAAGTGTAAATAGTTAGTAATTATTTTATTACTTAATATTAAAACTTGTAATCATCTTCTTTACGAAAATCATGTTTATTGTATAATCAATTAATTCAATTCGTGATATAGAAAATGTATGAATAAAATATGGTAAATATAGTCAAATGATTTAAAAAACGTGTGCAATATACCTCTAAAAATAGAGTTTAAGATCTTGCATATACAATAAAAATATATAAACATAATTTATTGCTTTAATGGTATGTATTTTATCAGCTTACACGTATTCACAAGCTTAGTATCTATATAATAATTAATTATATTCCTATGTAAGTGGAAAATTATTAATTCATTTATTAATGATATATCTGTATTTTAAGCAAAAGCAACAGATGTGATAGCGTTCCTCACTCTCATCAATATATTATATTCGTATAGTTGTCAGAGATTTTCAATCGTCAGTCAATGATCAATGACGCCGAGTATTTTATTGAAGAATAGAATGAATAATATTATATTGTCATACTTGCGTGCATATATAATGGCAAATTAAGTATACTAATGTACATACCTACCATAAATCATAACACCTATAATTTGAGCTACCTATGTTGAATAATAGACTTTTTAAAGTCAACATAAATGCATCAGGTGTGAAGCACTATAAACATATTTCTATGTTCTAGATGTTATTGTGAGAGAGAAATGCATCGAGTGTCAAAATAATAGAGCGATTTGTCCGTCAAGTATGCTGAGGTGGATGGGTTAAAATTCAACCGACTCGGCGCTTCACCGTTAACTACCGTCAACAATATATATTATGGATAACTATTTAGGTAGTTAAGTGCACACATGCTGGTGTCTGTGTGTGTGTGTAATATATTATTATACCTCAGCTATTTCTGCGATGTACATTGGCACGGCGGTAAAAATGATACCGACGGCGACACCAGCCAACACCCGGGCCACATACAGCGACAAGATACCGGGCACCACGCCGATGATGATCCAAGAGATGGCCGACAGTATCATGCTCAAGAGGATCGTGTTCTTGCGACCCAACCGGTCCAGCAGGACTCCGGCGAGTATCGGTCCGATGGCCGCGCCCAACGTCACCAGCGAGCCCACCCAGGAGGATTGGTCGCTTGAGATCTTCATGCCGGTGTCGCCGTTTTCAAGCTTCACCAGAGTTGGCGACGACCACGTCAGTGCGCAACCTGCGACCAGCGCGCCCATGTTCACTGCAAACGCGACACACACGATTAAGGCATACATAATAATAGTAATAGAAATAATTTATTTTTATGGCAAACTCGTCGAGTCCATCCCAAAATGTTTATGAAAGCAGTGACAACTTTATATTGGGTAATGGGTATGTTAGGTACCTATATTGTTATAGTATGTTTTTCGTCTAAAAAAAATTAATTCGTTCCAGGAAAAAATTTAAACCTAAAGTGAATTCGATGTTTATTGATTATTAATTATTATATTATTATATTATTATATTACACACTTGTACACTGTAAATCCATGTGTGTTTAAATTAAACTAATTTCCGAGCCCACTTTATTATCATTACAAGAAACGGGGTTGACATACGATAAAAAAATTATGGATTCGTCAAACGTAAAATAAACTAAAATTTTTTAGTCTACAAAGTACATATTTTTCGTCCGAGACTATTATAATAATTGTAATTTACAATATTATGATTATAAGACAATTTATTTTATAACTCGTTGCGACTGATGGTTTACGAAAGGTTCGATTCGTCAGCGTTCCTAGGTAATAGGTTAAACTGTATCCGGTTATAAGTTGAAACTATATTGACATCTTGTTTGATATTATTTAGTCTCGATCCAATACTACGACACTGTACCGTACAATAATTGCCGATGTCGATATATACATATATTTCTCCGTTTAAGCTGCACAAGCCAAGTGTTACGAGTCGTTTCGTTCACGCGACAACCACAATAATAATAGTCTACTGCTCTTTAAACATATATAATAGTATAAATTAATCATTACGATCATTCATCTTGATCAAATCTTCAACTAAATATTAAATAAGGTAAATTATTTTTTAAATCGTCTATTCCTGAGACCCCCCCCCCCGTACTTCGTTTTTAGTAATCTGAAATACACTATACCTTCTTAGACAAAATCGAAAATATTAAAATTGTAATAGTTACATCTATTTGATAATTCTTCGTTACTATCGTCTATCAGCGTCTGATGGAATTCGACATTTTTTTTAACCAACCTTGTTATTTGTTTATTATTATTTTTTTTTTTTTGTGTGTAATGCAGCGTGTGCTGCTAACTCTATCTACGCTTGCATGCAACGATTGTCGGTGACATTCCTATTCATTTTAATAACCGATTACGCCTCATGTCCAATGACGAGCCAATGACAAAATCACATCAGCTAAATAAAGGCCATTGCCCATTGCTTGGTACCAGATATTGTATCAGCTCATATCGTCTAGTATTGTGGCTCGACAGTAAAATAAGTGTATTTATTATTTTTCAACAGCGCCAATTATCTATATTAATTTGCATTATCTCAACCCGCAACAAGTGTTTATTTGTGAACGGTTTTGGTCTATCGTCACGTATTCGGGATAACAAAATATTAGGATGTTTAAGGTTTTTGTCAAAACCAATTTATTAAACTCGCTTACGATAGAGATGAATTTCTTTTATTTATACTTTATATTTTACGATCTACTATTGACAAAAAAATCTATTTAATATCCGTAAATAATTATAATAAAAAACATTATATTTAAATATAAAATTATATCGTTGTGCCCTATCCGTGTATAGTGAATAATTTGTTGTCTCCTCTTTGAATATTTATTATTTTTTATTCGCATGGCATATTTTAGGGTATTTAGATAAAATGCGCGTTGTCCGGCTAATACGTCATGTATATATATATTCTATATTTATATTCTATTTGTAATAAAAAAAAATGGCCTTAACGATTAGAGATAAAACGCACGAGACCAACATATTATTATTATGGTAATACCGCGTATTAACTATTCATAATGAGCCTAAAACAGATTATTTAAATCTCCCGATATTATAAACACTATTTGTATTGCATTATATATTTTTTATTACTAAAATAGTTTACCTTAATTCATTTTACAGCACTAATAAACGAATTAAAATCCTAGGCATATTCTTTTAGTTATATTATAGTACCAAATTAATAATAATCGTAATATATTACGGTATATTAAAATTTAAACCCTTTATTATATCAATAATAATGAGTAATTACGCCCAATTTTTATACTAAAAATATATCCACAAGGTGATGGCAAATAATACACTAAACCTATTATGCCCAAACATAATGTGTTCACTCGTTTTGTTATGGCACTAGTAATTTGTTGTAAACATTTAGTTGAAACGACGGGTATTATATAGTCATAATATATACACAACACATAGTTCATACAGTTTAACATAAAACAGTTTAATATGATGTCAGGGAATGTCATTTTTAATAATTATGTATAATATTTCAAAACTTGTTAAATTTATGTTTGATTTCCGTTTATGACTCGCGTGTTTCGAATTCAGCATGTGCGGAATTCCAAATTTATGAACAATTTATTTATATTCAGTGGGTTAGATCAACACATTATGATATCATATATTAAGAAAATATTCAATATTGTGATACTAACTACTGCTATACATATATCATTATTTATTGGCATAAAATTAATTTTTAAGTTAAGTTTAATTAATACTATTGTATTGATAACACTTTATTTGATTGAAATATGAACAGTAAAATAATTGATTAAAATGAAATGGTTTATTTTTTAATCGAACATGATCAATTTACTAAGCAAAATAATCTGATATTAGTAATAATTAAGTTGTTTTATAGCGAATATTTTCCGATAAGAGATTATTATATTATGCATATTATTGCGTCAACAGGTTATCGAATGAATGAACAATATCATTTTCTATGAAATGTTTTTAGTAACAAGTAAAAAGTCACCAAAATAAAAATAAGAAGCTAATTATTAAGAAAAAAAAATTTTTAATTTTATTTAAAGCTAAAAGCATACCAAAAATATTTCTTTTTACTCAGAAAATTCCGAATTTAGCAATTTTTTGTTTTCATATTATTATAATTTCAAGGGTTAGTAATTTAGGTTTTAATTATTGTTCAACGTAATAACGTTAAGTCGTAAAATATTAAATAGTACAGGAAGAAAAATAAAAAATGTAATGAAAATATTAATGATTTAAATTTTATGATATCAAAATTTGGTTTGTATATAATTTTATGATATAGCATTAAGTTCAATGTTTATTATAGTGCATTACGGTAATTTTTGTATGTAGAACATTAAAAATAAAGTTAAGCTAAAGCTAATTTAGTTGTTGAAACACGCTTGTAAATATATAATAATATACAAATAGTGTAAGGATTTCAAATACTAAAAAAAAAAAAAAAATTAAAGCAAATTTTGATTTATTTATAATAATAGTTTTATTTCTGCCGTTATGTACGCATATACAATTGTCCATTCAAAATTGTTCATATTAATTGTATAACCGACGAAACTACTGCAGTTAAATGCTGTTTTAATGACCCCGAATTACCGAATTATAACATATTATCTACACGAGTAATATAATATTTTAATAATTCAAAACGTTTATAATATCATCTTCTAGTTATAGTACAAACGAAATTAATGAATTCATGGACGTTTTACTAATTCTACAACTTTTCCAATAAACTATATATCCCTAATGCAGTTATACTGTATGCATACGAATATGTTTTAAGTGTATAGAAAATAATATAAGATCTAAACGAACGAATAATCTTGTTTTTATTTTGGAAGGTCCAGTGAGATGTATATATTATATTATACAAAGGACAACCAATAAGATTTTACGATTTCTTTTTTATATTATACTTGGCGCTCTTTGTGACCCAGCGTGATCAGTTTTTTTTTTTATATATAATATATATTTATACAGACATAATATAATCCTACGTTCAGTGCTCCCCACTATACTCAAAAATAAAGACTACACCTTGGGGGACGCCGTCTTGCAGTGTATATAGGCATATTTTCGTTTTAGAAAATGCAGCGTATATATCTTTAAGTTGTCGTAGATTTCCTGTTTCGTTTTGAAAAACTGGTAAAGTAATAAATTACGAAGATAAAAACAACAAGTTAGGCCTACCTACCTACACATGCATTATACAAAACGAATCATTTTAATCAACCGACCCAACGTGGAGCTATCCAAGCATTAAAAATAATAAAATGTGTTTTTTTTATATATATACAAGCCTATACACCTTGATATTTTATAACACCACATGTCATAGCAGGCAGGTCGGTGTAGAGATTTTTTAATAAAATATAATATGTAGGTAGTACGCACATCGAGGGTTGAACAAATATTATAATCATTTATATCGTTCGAACCCCAACACAATATTATAATACATAGCTGGTTTCTATATACTGTTAGTAGTTGGTACGATAACTGTGTACAATATTTATTTTTATTTGTCTGATCGTGTTGCTTGCATTTTCGTCCTCAATGTTGGGCAGTCTTGTAAAGTACTTAAATGAAAGTATTCATATAGTGTTTAAATACTTTTAAATAGCATCTGTATTCAAAATAAAATACTAACTTTCAACTACTTTTTATTTTTAGTTTATTAATATATTACCTATTATATATTATTTTATATTTTCAATTCAATTGTGTTAAAAAAAATGTATATATATATGAGAAATGCATGTGTGCATTTGAGTCACAAAATATAATCTATATAAAAAAAAAATATAAAATATTTCAAATTTTCCAGAATTATAATTTTATATACTTACTGTGAGATAGGTAGTATATTATTTTGAAAACAAGTAACAACTATTAATGAATATCTGCCATCTGGACAACTATGCAATGCGTAAGGTTAACGATAATGTAGGTAGGTACTCGTTTTAAATGTCTATTACCTATACCCAACCGATAGTATTAAAATAACTTGGCAGAGTAAACAAATGAGTTATCGTTATGTATTGTACGTATAGTTACACCGAATTGTATACGATGTAAAATTATCTTTAAAATAATAAATGTAAAACATGAAAATGCTAAAAAAATTCAGTTCAGTTGATTTATACGGCAAAGTAAAATGTTATGTAAAATATTTGAAGTATCAGCTGTAATTTTGTACTCGAATACTTTATTTTACCGAGTATTCAAATACGTATTTTAAATATACTTGTCGAAATAAGTTCTATATTTTAACTACTACTAACTACTACTTGAATACTTTTAAAAAGTATATTTTACACGACTGTTGTTATATGTTGTTGGGGGTAACAATATAAATATTAGAAGCACTCAGAATAGTTAAGTACAACGTGGAGCTGTGAGCTGTGGTCAACCGCGTTCATAATATAATTGGTAGGTATAGCCCGACATAGGTAATTACTTATTACTAATTATAAAATAAATTTCAAACAATTTTTTTCCGACGGTTTATGGATACACACAAAATATTAACTTTCATAGATACCTACAATGGGTAGGGTATGGAAAGAAAAACACGCAAATTTTGTTTCGTTTAAAATATTCTGCGCAACAAGTGCAATTATACTAACATACCACTGGATGTTTTTTTTTGTGAATATAACTACAGAGTACAGTACTACAGTATGTACAACAGTTATATAGTCGAATCGATTGAATACAAATTAATAAAACCTAACAATCACGTTTTGAAATAATATTGTTTCACAGATTTATAAATACATACATAAGATTATTAACAACGAAATTTTTGTTTTGTGTATCTGTGACAATTGTATGTGTTGTTGAAAATATTATTATTAAATTGTAAAAAAAATTAAATACATATTCTTTATTTCGATTTCATGCAACTATGCAAGTCTATGTTATTTGCAGTGCATTCCATTCGCATATAAAGGAAAATAAAATATGTTTTCGATCAAGATGCATAATTTATGATGATACATAATATAAAACACCGTCGAGCTTACCATTCGACACTCATATACTAGTTAATCGCTATAATGTTTCAAAAATATTTTTGAATTATATGTGATTTAGAGTTTTACATCTTTACCGACAGCTGACAACCAAAGTTGAAGGAATTTAATGTAATTTAAAAATCTAATATCTTATTTCCACGGCTTGCGTTCAATTAATATAAGCAACATTTAAATTGTTAATATAATATAATATAATATTTTTTTTTACCCATAAATAAAACAATCTGAGAACGAATAAAAAGAAAGTTAACAGTTTATATTGAGAAACCAATTCGTTTTGTATATGTTTCAAATAATGACCCAACCAGAAACGTTCCGCACCGACTATTTTTGTTTTACCTCAACATGAACACAATATCATACTTAATACATACAGCTAAGGATAAAAAAAAAATGGATGTTTAAGGTTTTTGTCAAAACCAATTTATTAAACTCGCTTACGATAGAGATGAATTTCTTTTATTTATATCTAACTATAAATATTATGCTACTTATACTATAAGACGTATACTGCGATATAATATGCAAAAGAAATGTTAGATAATGTCAGAGGTTTCAGGTGGATTACACTGTGGGACACCATCTATATAACATGAATACTTTAAACGCAAAAATTGCACCCCCTTAATATTTGTCGTACCTACTAGGTTCATCGCGTTGAAAGCGGCGACTTAAAACTGGCTATCGCGAACTATTCTATTGCTGCGCAGGAACTCGGACGTGGGGTAGTTAACGAAAATAATCTTTTAAAATATGTCTATTACAGTGAAACAAGTATGTATAATATATTATATAAATGTTCTTACCTAATTATTATAATATTATGGGATACGATCGAGAAAACCTGAGATCTCTCACTCCCCCTTTCTCCCATTATCACTCTGTCTTTCTCTCTAGATCAATCTCGGCATGCGCTGCAAATCTGCAATAGTGTACGTATAACTTTAAAAACAACACCTCAGATATTGTCAGTGGTGTACTATCGTGACGATCTTCTTGCATTATATGTACCTACCTTGGTCTTAGCGTACGTTTCTTCATACTTTTAAAGTATTTTTCCCCGTCTACCCACATAGAATAATATCCACTACACTGTAGTACCATTAAAATATAGCTTATAACGTTTGCCTTCCAGAAATATCCAGAAATCTAAAATGTTTATATTACCTTCTGGCAATGTTGAATGTACACAGAGGTTGGAGGTAGGTATTAGCGCTTAGATGTTAGAGTAACGATCTACTATTGACAAAAAAATCTATTTAATATCCGTAAATAATTATAATAAAAAACATTATATTTAAATATAAAATTATATCGTTGTGCCCTATCCGTGTATAGTGAATAATTTGTTGTCTCCTCTTTGAATATTTATTATTTTTTATTCGCATGGCATATTTTAGGGTATTTAGATAAAATGCGCGTTGTCCGGCTAATACGTCATGTATATATATATTCTATATTTATATTCTATTTGTAATAAAAAAAAATGGCCTTAACGATTAGAGATAAAACGCACGAGACCAACATATTATTATTATGGTAATACCGCGTATTAACTATTCATAATGAGCCTAAAACAGATTATTTAAATCTCCCGATATTATAAACACTATTTGTATTGCATTATATATTTTTTATTACTAAAATAGTTTACCTTAATTCATTTTACAGCACTAATAAACGAATTAAAATCCTAGGCATATTCTTTTAGTTATATTATAGTACCAAATTAATAATAATCGTAATATATTACGGTATATTAAAATTTAAACCCTTTATTATATCAATAATAATGAGTAATTACGCCCAATTTTTATACTAAAAATATATCCACAAGGTGATGGCAAATAATACACTAAACCTATTATGCCCAAACATAATGTGTTCACTCGTTTTGTTATGGCACTAGTAATTTGTTGTAAACATTTAGTTGAAACGACGGGTATTATATAGTCATAATATATACACAACACATAGTTCATACAGTTTAACATAAAACAGTTTAATATGATGTCAGGGAATGTCATTTTTAATAATTATGTATAATATTTCAAAACTTGTTAAATTTATGTTTGATTTCCGTTTATGACTCGCGTGTTTCGAATTCAGCATGTGCGGAATTCCAAATTTATGAACAATTTATTTATATTCAGTGGGTTAGATCAACACATTATGATATCATATATTAAGAATGTTCAAATGTTCAGAATGTTCAATGTATCAACATTTAAATTGTTAATATAATATAATATAATATTTTTTTTTTACCCATAAATAAAACAATCTGAGAACGAATAAAAAGAAAGTTAACAGTTTATATTGAGAAACCAATTCGTTTTGTATATGTTTCAAATAATGACCCAACCAGAAACGTTCCGCACAGACTATTTTTGTTTTACCTCAACATGAACACAATATCATACTTAATACATACATCTAAGGATAAAAAAAAAACATTTTCAAAATCTATACATATAGGGTCAAATAGTTAAATACTAGAGATTATTTTTTTCTCATTCTAACAACGAGACCTAACCTATACTGTGTTATAAAAGAAATTAATTCACAAAACACTTATATTTTTAACGCCAACATTCTTATCGTACGACGCCCCGAGTTTGGTTATCCCAATATTATTTGTTTTTAATTCCATCTCTAAATCATAGAGTTGCTCATAAAGCCATATCCACTTTTAACGAGTTGATTTTTTTTCCTAATTATTCGTTTAATTGGTAGGAATTATCAGGGACCAACCAATATGGAGCCCGTATAATATTTATTGACTTTAAACGGAATGTAAATGGTAAGAAATATAAGAAATTAAAATGTCTCTAAATTGCTGTTAGAGTTATAATTTTTTGTTACCAATACATTTTTGTTTCGAAACAATATTATAACAGTCGCCGTCATTCAGAGTTTAAAACTACCATTATTGCACTATAACAGTAAAACCATATGCGTAAGAATATTTTGAACCGCACTAAAACGGAATACCCCATAGAATAGGAACTAATTATTGAGACTTACATTTTAAAAATTTTTTTTTTTTAAACCTAAGAATTGGATATGATTGTTTTAGTTTTAAATACTTTTAACCCTCTCCGGTGTCGTGTTTAAATACGTAAATGTGGTTGCACAAATAAACTAAAAACAGATGTGCCATCGATTTCTGTGACGGAAATCGATAAAAATAGCTTTGTGAAAAGTCAAGAGATCTGCCCGTGAAAAGGATACGATACGGAAAAAAATACAAACTCAACCCTTTCTACACGTATGAGGGGGGGACTTATATACCTAATATTATCATATAAGTAGGTAATCGTGAAAAAAAAACCTTATTAAAATCTTATTAGCGCTTACCCGTGCATGCAGCCAGGTAAAGGTTGAGCGAGCTGCTCGGACGCTCGGAATTCGATTTCATGGCGGCGGCCGAGTTTAGTTGTTCTTGTCCTTGTTGTGGCTGTTGTTGTTGTTGTTGTTGTCGATGGCGATGAGGAGCTTTGTCCCCGTTGGAGAGCGATGCGCGAGTGCCGTCGTCCGCCGTCGGCGCGTCGCCTTCTCGGCTACCTGGACCGGGCGAGGCCCCTTCCTCCATCAACGTCTCCAACTCCATGGGACCGGCGAACTGCGGCCGCGCGTAACCAGACGTCTTCCGCCGGGGGGGACAGCCGCCTCCGCTCAGATTCAACCGGTGTGTTTGCTGGGGTTGCGGCTTCGGCGGTTTCCTATATCGTACACGACAATACTATATTAAAATATATTAAAATAATATACCAAATCGCGATAATATTAATATCATACAGGATGGCGATTTGAATAATCTCTCGATAAAACATAGTATTATGATGACGTTATAAATAATAATATTACAGTACTATTATAATGCGAGTAACGCAATAATTCGACTGTCAAAACCCGAAAAATATGAGAAAACAAAATATTTATTGAGGTTTATTAAGGCTTGTATAGGTAGAGCCAGTATACGCGTTCTTAAGATTTCCAATGAGTAATTATAATAATATTTCAAAATGTTTAATAATGGCTACAAAAACTATTTAGCATTTCCTATACTGAGCATACCGTGAATGGTAATCACTAATATTATAAGTCCACATTCGAGCGACTATAAAAGTGATTGGAATTTAACGATTATTAGTTCGCATTTTGTGTTTTTTAAACCCATCTGCGTATCCAGATTCTAATAAAACACAAGACTTTGATATACTAAAAAATAAAGCAATTATCAGAGTATAGTTAAAAAGATAATACCAATTACTGATTATTAAAGTTAAAATTCCAATAAGTTATATTATTATTCCAGCGATGCATAATATATATTTATGACATATGTGGATTCATAATATTTCATTAATAAGGGTGCGTAAAAATTTTAAGTCAAGTGAAAAACAGTTAAAAAAATCTTAAGCTTTAAGCCACCTACAATCAATCAAAGCTTAGCTGTTAAAATTAATTTTTTTTATACATACAAAAATATAAAAATTGAGGTTTTAGATTTTTTTTTTATCAAAAATTCGTTTACAGATTCATAGTAGAGCGTTAAATGTATTGGTTTACAATGATGAGTTTTGTTTTGTTTTTGTTCTTTTATAGTAGCTAAAAATACTATAATCTTGTAAAAATACAAAAGTATTTTTAAATAACTTCAACTATAGAAATTAAAAAAAAAGAGAAATAAAATAAAAATATTCAGATTCATAGAATCATTTGTACCTCGTAAATATTTGCACCGTTCCACGGTATATCGGTATTGACTTAAGTTAATAACAATAATATGGTTATTATAATATTATAATAAATTGTATGCAATTTTTGGAGATTATAAAACATCTTTAGAAATTGCCAAACACGTTCGTATGCGTGTGATTTATCGTTTGAATCAAATTTAACGCATCCCCAATAGAATGACTACAATATTATTACCTACTCAATGACAACGACGACTTACACTCTAATTTTAAGCTATACAGCAGAGTGACTTCCCAGATTTTGTTATTTTTAAAAATACAGAGAGGGCTATTCGATTAGATTTTTCCAAGTAGACTTATGATATAATACTACTATTACGCAGCAACACTCTTCATCGATTGGTTGTTTGTATATACATAGCACAGACCACGTGTATGTACTAGGGTATATACACATCACACACACTATAAATAAATGTTTTTTGAAGTTCAGTAAAATTTCGTGTCAACGCTCTTTCAGAACCGTGTTGTTTATTTTGTGAACAACGATATTATAATATAATATAAATATTATAGTGTAGTATACCCACAAAGTGCACAAACCCAACTTGATGATGGTAAAAATAACACTATATTTGAAAGTAAATAAAATGTTTTGCAAACAACAATAATTTATAAACACAAATTAATAAATGTTAAAGTCATCAATGAGTATATATTTTAAAATATGAAAAAAGTTATTATTGCATGCTAAAATAAATACATTTTAAAATAAATTTAATTTTACTATAAATAAAAAAATGTTTTGTTATAATAATAAATGAGTAGGTAGGTACATATAATTCCATACCATACTGTTCCTACTAAAATATGATATTAATTCTATGACTTAATTTTTTTCTTAAAAAATAATCTTAAGTTCAGAAAATGTATATTTCATTTTATATTCTCAAAATAAGTTTACAAAACCGTAAAAGTATTTTGATTGGGTTTTAATCGTGTCGGGGTATGCAACACGATTCAGATGTCATTAATTTAGTTATTAGTCGTAAATGCGTTGGATTAATCGATAAGGTATTATATAGTAATTGCACGTGTATATGTAAGCAATTTATCCGATTATAATGTTTTTCACTAGAAAAAGTTTATTTATTTTTACTTATATAAACTGAATTTTAAATAATTTTTTAATGGTCGATCGTCGGCGATTGTTTAAATTGTCCGTGCAGGGTCACGGGTAATGGTGGAATTGTATAGTGTATCTATGACTATTCGAATATATTAAAATATTCCAAAAATTTGGAGAATGAAAATTATAATAGGTACATAAAAATGAAAATAAATGCAGAAACGCGCAGATAATATTATATTGTTTAATGTTGTGCTCATATATGATGTGTTACACAATATTCTGGTTTGATAGTTCGTACACAGTCCTTACAAACTGTTAAGCGTATCACGGTGAACGACATCCGCAGTTATGTTATACTGTGATTCTTACAGGCCATGTTTGAGACCTATTCGATGGGGTAAATTAAATACGAGTAATATAATATAATAAAAAAGCATTATTTTACGCTTGTTTTTAAAGTATTAACAAAAGTGTTTCCGACTAAAATATATGTTAAAAACTTTTTTCATAAACGTTTAAGGGGTCCCCAAGGTTCAATATTTAAAACCGAACAGTGCCAGTGTATCAGAATCGTATCATATATTATGGTCAATGTGGTCTCGAACTCTATAAAGATACAGACGTTTATCGATTGTACACGAATACCATAGTACCTCACATTAAGTTAATACCAGTGTGGGCTGAGAAATAGAGGTGATAGTGTAACGTCTCCTCTATCAAGTTAGACTGTTAGAGTCTAGAGAGTAAAACGCAGCAGAAATGTAGTAATAATAAGCGGCGTAAAACGTAAGAGGTAGGCAGGTCTTAGTACCAATACGTGTCACATCTAAAAATTAAACGACGGTGTCTATAAAATGTACCTAGATAGTACGTGTTTGTATACGCCGATGTCTGCTATTGAATGCAATTTACATATTATATTATAATATATATTATACATTAATACAAATCACATGTTGATGAAATAAAAGTTTTTCCGCGTTTCCTCGGAGCAATTTCGATCGACCGCAACGTATAAATATTATAATATTATTATAGGCACGTATAACATTTTCTAAGTGCGGATACCGAAAAACCTAACAGCGTTCCAGATTGTAATAACTGCATCCGTCGTACGGTTATGGAACTCGTAAATCGTAAAATGGTCGACGATAATGATTGTAATGCGATATTGCACATGCGCTGGCGACAGGTTAAGTGCGCGAGGCCGCCGCCGTCAGCACGGAATTCCACGAATCTCAGATACATGTTTTGGCAGATTGGCTATATATATTTAACGCGGATGAGGTCGGTCGAAGATGGCTGTAAAAAAAAAACGCCGACGGAAAGCCCAACGAAAAAATGTCGCACTTTTTTTTCGGTTGTGCTTTACGCTGTGTTATAAGTTGCTATTTATATTATTAACCGTATCGCGATCCGAACGGTTTAATGTTTATCGTAACAGAACTATAAACCGTGTGGTAGTTTTAGGAATGTTATAGGTATAGGCGAATATCAGCTAAATATCTACAGAAATCACGTATTAATTACAGTAGGTAATTGCAGGCAGCACATTACGTAAGCGACACTCAACATTATAGTTGTTAGCCGTGTAAAATGTACTGGGAAAATTCCGAATTTCCGGACCGTTCGAACCAGCTTAGGCTGCTGGATGACTGTCGCTCCTAGCGATTTTCGAGCAAATAATGTTAATAACACCAAAACAAATCCTGTACGTGACCTGCGGTGATAAAAGGAGCGACTAAAAAAAAATTTCGAATTTCCTATTTACTCTACAAACATAGGCAAGCCCGGATTAAGACATTTTGAGGCCCAGGGGCCAAAGTTTAAATGAGGCCCCTGTACGAAAAAAAAAATAATGTATATTAATATTATATAGGTACCTGTTATAATAAATATATATAGGTATTAAGGTACATAGCAATAAATCAAGAATTAAGTATCATTTTATTTATAAATTATAATTTACAAGCTTTTTTCCTCGCTAAATAATCATCGATTTTTTTAAAGTGATTTATGCGGTGACGCGGTGTTATAGCCTATAATGAACGAATCTGAGGCCCCTAAATAAATGGAGGCCCGGGGGCCATGGCCCCCCCCTTGATCCGGGCTTGAACATAGGTAATAATTAACAGTTAATGACATAGTAGTTATATATAGTAGTGATGCACGTTTGGAAACATAAACAAAACGATATACCAATTTTTGGTCGTTTAAATCGAATTCGTTCGGATTTTCAGAATATTGCGGATATGATATCGATTTTTTGATATCGCACATTCGCCGATAAATCAGTATATATTATAGGCTATAAGGTTAAACATTACTCAATAATATTGTGTACACAGAGATTAAAATTCTGTTTCAATAATAATTACAAAGATTTTATTATTCATTTATTACAAGTAGGAGGTATACTTTATGTCAATACAATTATTATATTACTCTATTTTTTTTTCAAACTTATTTAAATATTTACTACTGATAACGTTTATAAATTATCGTTGGTTTAGTTTTTATATTGAAGATACCGCAAGTACTATATGCATGAGGTCATATTAAATAAATTATAATATATATTTGAATAATTAATAATAAAATTTGCTATTTGGGAGAAATGTACAACATGATAATGACGTGTGTATGCAGGTGGGACATTCCCGCCATGTTTATCACCGTCAAAAACTTTTAGTTAAAGCGCATTTTTTCACAGCAGTGGACTACCACATTATATAATTTCTATGCATTTGTTCTATCTATTCTGTGTGTATTCTGCGTGAATTAATTATGTCAAATAGTTTCGATAGATTACGACTCATTTGAATTGCTATCATAAAAGAATAATAAAAATTTATAATCAATAAAAGTATTATTATATTGTACTATTATATACCTCTTACATAACCGGAAGATTAATACGTATTTCCTTTAAAAGATCGAATTAACCGAAGAATATGTATCACTTATAATTCATAGATATTTTTATTATTGTATTTTCATTGAACCTCTTCACATGTTTTGATGTAGTACATTTATATAGATAATGTAATTGTGGGTAGGTAACTGGAGGTGGGATAGCAATAGAATGGCGACGTATCTAGTGACTTAAACAGATCGAATCATCGTTTTTTTTTTTTTAACACAATGATTTATCAAAATAATGTTAAAGTTAAACGTATTTACCAAATGTATTAATTGTCGATTTTGCATAAATATTAAATACCTACGTATCTGGCTACCGTATCAAATTTGTTATTAGTGGATAAAGATCGATTGAATATATTCTATATATCAAATATCATTAATATAAACCGGGCGATATTTTTTAAAAATCATATGGACCTATAATTGAACCTCTCTGAATATAGTTTTAATGGGTCTAATGAATAATGACGTGGACGACTTATAGGACGAATATGTTTACTCGGATAAAATGTCAAATTGTACGTCGAAATAATCCATTTAACATTGTTATGCTCAATATTATACTGAATACTAGGTATTTGACCTATCGTCAAAATTAAAAGTAAAAATATTAACTAGTGGTTTTATTTTATATTTTAATTTTAAATCGAGTTATCAGCATTTAAAGTGTATAAATAATTTACAATTTTAAAATGCGAGCATAACTTGATTAAAATATAAAATAAAACCTATGCGATTCGCTAAATAATATTCTTACTTTTAAATTTGATTATTGGACAATTCAGTCTAATATTAAAAACCAGAGTTAAATGGATTATTCAGAACGTACATTTTGCTATGTATAGCCGTATAAGACGGAGACAATAACGCATGCGAGTGAAGCGTCCTCTTAAGGAAATTGTACATAACCTTATACATTAAACATAATGTTTAATACATACAGAAGGACTAAAAATATGAAACTGTTTATTATGTATGTTAACTATAATATACTGGGAAAGTCGCTCTGCTGTATAGTAGGTGTCTATTGTACCTGGTTATTGAGTACAGCTCACTGTGATATTTGTGTAAAGTCTGAATTCAAGGATAAATATCATCGTATACTCGTACGAAAAAATTAATCCGAGTGGAGACGGGAGAATAATTTATATTGATATTAATAATTTATTTCTCTATTGGTAATACGGTAGGTTGAACTAATTTTGAAAAAAACAAATCGCATATATTACATATATAGTATAATACTATTCTAGTATTAATTCAAATTGCTAAATGTTAGTATGTTACAAGATTATAAGCCATAAACAACGTACCTACCATAGTAGCTGAAAATTAATCTAGAGGTTTTTTTTTTAATGTGGATTGTAAATAATAATAGATGTAGGTATAATATTTTTAGAATATTACAAATATTAAAGGAATAATATATTTTTTGAATAAATATCCAATTTTGTAAGTACCAGATCCAATTTGCTATTAAAACCGCACACGCAAAATTTAAGATTGAAGCATTTTTTTTTACCAAATAGCAAGCCCGGATTAAGATAATTTTGGGCCCGGGGCCAAACAATTTTAGGGGCCCATATCCATAATCAAAATTTTGGTGACCCACAAATAAAAATATTTCAGAAAAAAAAATATATTCATCAATTTATTTCTTATTTTTTTTTTTAAATACAAAAATAAAAATGTTATTAAAAATATTTTTTTCTAGATTTTTGGGCAGCAAACTCTTTAATTATATCATCGGTATTAATTACCTCCAAAACATCACTCTCTGAACACAAAACCATAAAACTATTTAAATTTTCTTGAGAAGAGCTTGTTCTATACTTGTTTTTTATTCGAGCTAATTTGGAGAATGCTCTTTCAGCCGAACAATTTGCAATAGGTATGGTTAGATATATTTTAATTGCAGTATACAAATTAGGAAAAGAAAGTAATCGATTTTTTTCATTGAAATGCTTCCAAATATCTAGCAGATAATCTTGTGTGTCATCATATGAAGGTTTACTGATAGACCAATATTTTTTGAATTGTATAATTTCATTTTGTATAGTATTATCAACATCTTTTTTATACAATAAAATAAAATTTTCAAGACTTTTATTAACTTCTTCTTCTTCATCAGTATCTTGTGGTAAAACAACATGTAATTTTGTGATGAACAAAAAATTGTTTTTTAGAAAACTATAAGCTTCAATTCGTTTTTCTAATTGTGAACAAAAACTGTCTATAATAACATTATAAGTCTCTACTCTAAACTTGTCATGACCACTTAAAGATACCTGATTACAACCAGAGTCATTTGGAAATTTCTTTTTTTTTATTCTCTCTTGTTCATCGGAGTATTTCTCTTTTATTTTAGGACTAAGTTGATTTATTTTATTTTCATATAATGTACTGCACTTCCTCAAATTTGATACATAATGCTTTAATGATATAAGTAAATTAAGAGCTTTTAAAGGATCACAATTTATTGTTTGCAACTGTATTGAGGTCTTGTTGGATCTTTCTAAAATGTCATTCCATAAAAGTGCCATGTATCCAGTTTCTTTTTTTTAAATTTTTTTTAATAATGGTCTAGCATTTCTTTTAGTATCTTCATTTTCTTTACTATTAGGACTTATTATAGTTTCTAATACTTCAATAATTTTAGTGTAATTATTTATTAATGCTTTACAAGACTCTGTATGACATGACCATCTAGTATCACTTAAAGATTTTAATACTAGTAATCGATTACTATCACTTTTTTCTATAGATGTAGTTAATATATTCCATCTGTGAGTAGCACTACTGAAAAAATTATACAGTGACTGAAGAAACCCAAAAAAATTTACTGCTTCTAAGCAACAATTCACACTGTGAACTCCGACTAGGTTAAGTGAATGAGCAGTGCAAGGTACATAAATGGCTAAATCACATTTTTTTTTTTACATATGCTTGTAGTCCTTCATAAGTTCCACTCATATTAGGAGCATTATCATATGACTGACCGCGACAATTTAAAATATCAAGTTTAGAATTTTTAAGAAAATCTTCTAACAATTTAAAGATTGACTCACCTTTGTGACTATCAATAGGTTTAAGCTCTAATAATCTCTCTTGTACATTATGTGATGTACAATATCTTAATACTATTGCCATTTGATCTACCTTAGATAAATCCGGAGTTGAGTCCAAAATTAATGAAAAATATTTACTTTCTCTGATTTCATTTTCAATATAATTAATAACACGTCTCTTTATCAGAGTTATTAATTCGTTCAAAATTGTTGTAGATAGGTATGATGGATGACCTCTCCCTTTATTACCGTGCAATTCAATATGGGTTTTCAAAAATGGATCAAACTCAGAAATTAGTTCAAGAAGTCCTAAGTAATTTCCATTATTTTTTACTCCAAATACTTCATTGTCTCCTCTAAATGGTAAACCACGTGAAGATAAATATTTAATAACTGCTACAACGCGTTTTAAAACATCAATCCAATATTGAGTTTCAGTAGATATTTGCTTACAGATTTGTTGATTTACGGAATTTAATGAGTTTTCTCGAAGTAGCCATGTAGTATTTGCTTCTCTGTGATACATGCTGTTTTCATGGTATGATATTTTTTCAAATTTTTTCCATTGATCAAACCCATTTTTTACAAAAGAGTTTTCACGATTCTTTGAAAAAAGCTTACACATAAAACAAAATACTGAACCCTGACTTGGAGAATACAAAAGCCACAGCCGATCACATATTTGTCCATTAGGTAAAGTTCTTTCAAACATTGCAGGCGTTAAATGTCTTTTATGATCTAAAAATCAAATAAATTAACTTAATTATTAAACATCAATGATATATAAACATAAATAAATTATAATAAGAATGTTTTATTAAAAAAATTCTTTATTGAAAATTATTGAAAAAATTTAACAAGTAATAACAATACAAATAAATAATGATTAAGTACTATATTTACCACTAATGCGTGCAGATTGAGTATACGATTTTTGTTTATTTTGAAAAAATGATGGCCCTTTTTTAATACAATAATCCACAAAATCATCATTTATTTTACTTGGCCAAAAATATGGATCTTTAACGGTTAATTCATCAAAGCTGTTATCATCAATATCTGCATGATGTATTGTACCAATATTCGTAGTATCCTTAACAGCTTTAATAATAACAAATATTGAAAATAAAACATTAACCACCAAATATTGTGAAAAAAATTAATTTTTATACTTACAAGTAGAATTAGTATTTTCAAGACCATTATTACTTTGATTTTGTTTGGCCGGTGATAAACCTACAAATAAATAATTTAAAATTTAAACTATAGATACCTATAATTAATTTATATTTGATAGGTACTTACAATGAGTATTGTTTAAGTGATCAGTCTGAACAGTTTCTTTTAAGTCAACATGCAAATTAATTTTATCTTTTAAATTACTGGAAACATTTTTGGCATTATCATCTAAAAAAAAATTAATATTTAAATTTAAAATGTATTATATTATTTATATTATAGTCCAGTCTTGTTAAGTATTTGAGTAAATGTATTTAAATATTTTTATTGTATTTAGAATACTTTTTAAATACTTCTCGAATAAAGTATTTGGAAAGTATTTTAAATACGGTCTTGGATGTGTTTGTATTTAAGAATCAAATACTTTTATTTAAATACTTTACCTATTTTAAACCGTATTATACTAATTACTTATTAATATATTATTTTATATACTTACATGACATACATGCAATACTAATAGCATTAACTTCTTCTGGTATATTATAATGATTATTTATATCAATAGTGTCATCAAGTATACCATCCACAGTACCATCCACAATACCTAACATAATTATTGAAAATGTTTATTATATTGATATATTATATTTAATTATTTAAATACATTTATTTTTTAACTTAAGTGTTTGAACAATGAACATAACATGGGTTATATAATATGATAAATTATAAATATTATTGTTTGAATGCGTTCATTATTCTAGTTAAAATTCAAAGGTACTTACAATTGATATTAGTTTCATTGTTTATATTTCCCTTTGAGATACTATGATCTATTTCCATAACATTTGAAACTAGTTTATCGTCACTTTCATTAGTTAAAGAAAAAAATCCAGTTATTTTATTGCACTTAACAGCAGATGTCATTAAAAGATCTTCTTTCTTCTTTTTTCTCTTCTGAGCACCGCTTAAATAATTTTTACAGCCACTCATATTCGACTTTTACTTCAAATTTCAATAATATAAGTTATAAGTTGTATTTGTAAAACAAAACACTAACACTAACCACTGTTAAACGTTAAACGTTATTATGACTTCGACTGAAGACTATACAAGAGACAAGACTTGTTTCAGTATTGTTATCGTAGAAAAATAACATAAATAGAATTCGTCTGGTTAATAAATAATAATTATTGAGGAATATGTTTTATCATCAAAAACAGTTTGATAACTAAATCTATTATTAGTAATGATGTTTCAACCGTCGTAAATCGTAATCGACGGTATTCACTGTAGTACAGACTGTACTCGTGATTCCTATAATTCCATTGCATTATCAATATCATCCTGCTAAAAATAGACGATAGTCGATAGCATAATAATAACATAGGTGATATCCATATTCCATATCCATTATCAATATAGTATTTAGCCCACCACAGAGTACTCTATGTATAGGCGTATAGCTTATAGGAAACGTTAATGTATAATAATAATAATGATATAAGTTTAAATTATTATTTATTATCATTGCAAATCTTTGTATTTTATCGCATTTAATATATTATATTTTACATGTTTCTTTTGAGTTTTGATTTACGAAATATACTATTATTACTATATCCAAATATTTCTGATTTAATAAAAAAAGTACTATTCGCCAAGGGCCCACTTTTGTTTAATATCCGTGGGCCCAGGGCCATGGCCCCTCCTGGCCCCCCCCTTAATCCGGGCTTGCCAAATAGGTATGATAGGACACTAAAATAAGAAATAATAATGCCCACATCATTGTAAAACTAAAATATTAATATCTCCGCTTATAATCAAAAAAAAAGTAAAAGGTTTTTTTTATATTACATAATGTATGAAAAAAGGATGAATTGCATTTAAAATGCAATAAGCATTATTAGTTTACAATTTTTACCATCTCTTGAAATTTTATGTCACCTATTATTAAGATAATAGTTAAAATATGACAGAAATATGATAATATGTAAGATAAATACTCAAAAGAAAACTCATAATAAACTTCTCAAAAATAAACCGATTATATTATTTCGTTAACGCTCTGTTATCTAAAATATTTTCATAATAAGAGAACCAGGGAATTGTATACGTTTTTTATAAACATTCATATTATGTAAATTATGACAATATACGCATAATATAAATTTTACATATTACAACAAACACAACCAGATATTAGAACAATAGCTTTTCGTGACCAATCACACAGTCTAAAAATCTTAAATCTGTATGTATATAAAAACACTGAAGAATTTATATTGACATATTATATTATATTATAAAAAACAGAAAATAATCGAAATATTAAAAAAATACCTTCTATATAATGGGTAATAATGATGTTTTTTACAAAAAAAAATTGCTTTCCACATATTTTTTTTTTTACAATATTATTGGACAACTTATAGTGATGACAATTTATTATTTAATAACTTTTAACTATGAAATATTGAGGAGGTAAGACTTAAAAATATGGTTATACATTAATTAATAACTATTAATATTATGAAATATTTATTTTTTTTATTACTCTAAAATTTAAAAAAATCTGCATACTTTTAGAACTATATGCATTGCAACATTAGAAAACGATTATAATATTTAATAGGTACCTACAATATTATATGAGTAAATAACATTTTTATTATTTGAAAAACTGAAATGTATAATACATCATACTTCCACTCATTACTCTTTACTATATAATGGACATTGCATGTATTAAACTTGAAAACTTTAAACACAACATAATTTTTTGAAAATTTATCAGATCCAGATAGTCGAACAATTGTTATGTAAAATATTATATTATCACCAAACTTCATCCAACAAAACAGTACCATTATATAACCTTTCTTATACTAAAACGTATTTTATTAAGTGTGTTATAAAAATACCATAAATTAATAATGTGTGTTAAAAGCAAACAATATAACATAACGATTAACAACTGGAGTAAAATAATTTTGAAATTTGCTGGTATTTTTAATGGCTGTATTTTTCTAACCCTATGTATTATGAATAATGACTTATGGCTATGTCTGTAACTTGTAACCAAAACGCATAACTATTAGTTATAAAATAAATTTAAAACTAGACGCACGTGATCCGTTTAATATTATAAATATAATATACGGATGTACATCTATGAATTAAGATTTTTAATCTCAACTGAATTATTTATAAATGCGAAAACGATCTTGCCAATTTCAATTCAATTCAATGTCAGTAGCTTATTATAATATACATTATTATGTATAGACGTA